TGATTACTAGGGTTCAAGAGAAGGATATCTAGTCGGCCAAATAAATAAACATTTCATAAACACCAGCACTGGCATTTTGTACAAGTTTTCAAGGGCAAAACTGTGTAATGAACATTTAAAAAAAAAAAAATTATTATCCTAAAGGTTTCCATAGTAATCTCACAGTTATTTTTTTTTTCATTTTGCAATTTTTATTTGCCGAGTAGAGTAGTCCAGTTTGGGGATGGACTGTTATGACAGATATGAACATTTATATATGTGTATGTGACTCTCAAAAATCTTTACGCAAAGATAGAAACATCATTTCTGTGATTATTCTCTGTCCCAAGCTTTTGAAGACGGCACTGGCAGGGAAAGAGCGGTGTTTTAATGCTCGTAGCATCGGATGGATTAAATATGGATTCCCACCTCTTCCTGTTGGCACATACATTATGCCGAAAAAGAGTTTCTTGGAAAGTGAAAATGGTCTTTGGAATGTCCTTAACACCTCAATGCTTAAGCCTTGTTCCTTTTAACACTCCGAGTTGTGCATTTCTTGTTCTTGTGGCTCAATGCCAATGTACACAGTGCTCAGCAAACTGCAATAGGGACACCTAATCCGTGGTCCAAAGAGCTTCCGATCTACATCTCTGTGCCAGAGGTACGAGTAGATAATATGGCTTAAGGTTACAAGAAGGTCAGAGATGAATCACTTCCATTTCATTTTCTAGATGTTTGCCTAGGTTTCGGGATTGTTTTCTTTATTTTGTAATTTATTCATCCCACGTCTTAATTTGGTGGATTTAGAAAATTAAAGAATGCCTTTTTTTCATATTCTACAAAAAAGATCTTTAAAATGAAACCATTTTTAACTTTCTGTAATTCTATAAATGTTATATCTGAGTAGCTGTCCCAGTGGGTTCCAATATATTGATAAAGCTTGATCTCTAATATTAAAATGAGCTATTGAAATCATAAATCATAGTGTTTGCTGCTCATTTTACCAAATTTCACAGGGAACTCTTCCTTGCTGTCTGTTATGGTTATGATAAAGGGAGAAAGAATTTGAGAAAGTGGTCATTTTAAAGAACTGAGCAATTTGTAGACAAGGTGCATTTTTGAAATTTATATCCAAGAAGGTATAAATCTGGATTTTTAGCATTCTAATTAAAAAAAAAAAAAAAAGTATATTTATATAAAACACAGCCCAGCAATTCAATAATTTTATTTTAGTTGCTCTTTCAGTTGCTTGGTGGCTGGGTCTCTAGTTTGGTTCATTTACCATCAGCTGTGAGAGCATCTCCGCACTCTGAATGTTCAGCATGCACCACCAGCTGTGAGAGTGTCTCCCCTTTCTGAATGTCCAGCGTGTTCCACCAGCTGTGAGAGTGTCTTCGCACCCTGAATGTCCAGCATGTACCATCAGCTGTGAGAGTGTCTTTGCACCCTGAATGTCCAGCATGTACCATCAGCTGTGAGAGTGTATCCGCACCCTGAATGTCCAGCATGTACCACCAGCTGTGAGAGTGTCTCCGCACCCTGAATGTCCAGCATGTACCACCAGCTGTGAGAGTGTCTCCGCACCCTGAATGTCCAGCATGTACCACCAGCTGTGAGAGTGTCTCCGCACTCTGAATGTCCAGCATGTACCATCAGCTGTGAGAGTGTATCTGCACTCTGAATGTCCAGCGTGTACCATCAGCTGTGAGAGTGTATCCGCACTCTGAATGTCCAGCATGTACCATCAGCTGTGAGAGTGTCTCCGCACCCTGAATGTCCAGCATGTACCATCAGCTGTGAGAGTGTCTCCCCTTTCTGAATGTCCAGCGTGTTCCACCAGCTGTGAGAGTGTCTTCGCACCCTGAATGTCCAGCATGTACCATCAGCTGTGAGAGTGTCTTTGCACCCTGAATGTCCAGCATGTACCATCAGCTGTGAGAGTGTCTCCGCACCCTGAATGTCCAGCATGTACCACCAGCTGTGAGAGTGTCTCCACACTCTGAATGTCCAGCATGTACCATCAGCTGTGAGAGTGTCTTTGCACCCTGAATGTCCAGCATGTACCATCAGCTGTGAGAGTGTCTCCGCACCCTGAATGTCCAGCATGTACCACCAGCTGTGAGAGTGTCTCCGCACCCTGAATGTCCAGCATGTACCATCAGCTGTGAGAGTGTATCCGCACTCTGAATGTCCAGCGTGTACCATCAGCTGTGAGAGTGTCTCCGCACCCTGAATGTCCAGCGTGTACCACCAGCTGTGAGAGTGTCTCCGCACTCTGAATGTCCAGCGTGTACCATCAGCTGTGAGAGTGTCTCCGCACCCTGAATGTCCAGCGTGTACCACCAGCTGTGAGAGTGTCTCCGCACTCTGAATGTCCAGCATGTACCATCAGCTGTGAGAGTGTATCCGCACTCTGAATGTCCAGCGTGTACCATCAGCTGTGAGAGTGTATCCGCACTCTGAATGTCCAGCGTGTACCATCAGCTGTGAGAGTGTCTCCGCACCCTGAATGTCCAGCATGTACCACCAGCTGTGAGAGTGTCTCCGCACCCTGAATGTCCAGCATGTACCATCAGCTGTGAGAGTGTATCCGCACTCTGAATGTCCAGCATGTACCATCAGCTGTGAGAGTGTATCCGCACCCTGAATGTCCAGCATGTACCACCAGCTGTGAGAGTGTCTCCGCACCCTGAATGTCCAGCATGTACCATCAGCTGTGAGAGTGTATCCGCACTCTGAATGTCCAGCATGTACCATCAGCTGTGAGAGTGTATCCGCACTCTGAATGTCCAGCGTGTACCATCAGCTGTGAGTGTCTCTGCACTCTGAATGTCCAGCGTGTACCATCAGCTGTGAAAGTGTCTCCGCACTCTGAATGTCCAGCGTGTACCAGAGTGTCTCTGCACTCTGAATGTCCAGTGTTACGGCATAAGAGGGGTTAAAATCCTTTAGTAGATCTTCCCTTCCAGAGACAGGCACAGCTACTGCAGAACATCAAACTCCCGAACTGAATACAAGGGAATGCTCCAAACTACCGAACTGCATACAAAGTAGCACTCCAAACTCCCGAACAGCTGCTAGCAGACGAACAGGAAAAGCACCCAAGCGGCTCACACTCCTGGCAATCAGTCTCTAACAGTATACAGTAAATCCCCCCAAAGACGAGACAGAGCTCAGTGTTGAGGGTCAAGCAGTGGTCTGGTTTATTGAGGGCTACCTGCCCAGTATTTATGCAGGTCTCCCACCTGGTGGACACTCCCCTAGGGGACCAAATGGGAGACTGTAACACAGACAGACATGTATCACATTCAGACACACAGAAGTAAAACATCCCCACAATGCATCCTAATTTCCCTCCCTCTATCCTCGAGATAATTGGGAAGTAATCCATTATACACGTGGGGACACAAAGACAGTAAAATACTTTAAAATATACAAAGTTACATTTAATACATAAAATACAGACATGTCACATATCCCCAGATAGCTGGGATCTGAGCGCACATAACTACCGAATCGCGCTCAGATCCTATTCACACAGTTCAATTGCCATGGAGCCAAAGTCTTTAATTACACGAATAGGCTCCATGGCATAGCTATCTGGGTTAAAACATTCACATAGAAAAAGTCCCGATCAATCCAGCGTTCGGCTAAACAGCCAGGAATAGAAGCAGGGAAGGCTGGAGGCTCAGCGGTGCCTGCACGTAAAAGTGTCCGCTGAGCACCGCTGGCCGTCCGGGGAGCTCCATAACACCGCCACCTAGCGGCCGTTAAGTGTAACCGCGGCCACCCAGTAACAGTCAATTAAGCTGCGGTAAACCGCAGCTACTGGGTGGTCAATTGACGGCACACGCTAGCTTCAGGGAGGTGGATTGAAGGCACACGCCAGCTTCCCATTGGTCGCGCCTTCGGTATTTTGTTCGGTAGATAAAATCTACCGAACGCCATGGCAGAAAGGCACGAATAAGCCTTTCTGCGGGGAAAATAAAGTATTTTAAAAGTCCGGTCCATAGTCTAAAGGGAGCAGGCGGGCAACCAGGCTCCTCCAATGCAATGTGGCGAGATTGCTCTCGTCACATCCAGCATTTACCACCAGCTGTGAGAGTGTCTCCGCACTCTAAATGTCCAGCATGTACCACCACTCTGAATGTCCAGCGTGTACCATCAGCTGTGAGAGTGTCTCCGCTCTCTGAATGTCCAGCATGTACTGTAACGGCACCCCCAGGCACAAAAGGGTTAAACCGCCGTGTAGTAGATCTTCCCTTCCAGAGACACAGGCACAGCTACTGCAGAACACCAAACTCTCGAACTGAATACAAGGGAATTGTAGCGGAACGCCAATATTAAATCCACGAATTCCGCTGGTTCAGGAAGTAATCCACAGTCAAGTGCTGAAACAACAAGGCAATATCCCCAACCTCCCAGTAACCGGACGAAACACAGTTCTTAGAGTCAACTGAAGTCCTTTAATTCTGCTTCACAATTTATACAAGTCCCCATGCAAGGGGTTTCCTGAGTCCCCTCCCAGGGGCATTCCTAGAGGGGACTACATGGGGAACTTACAGTACAACACATTTCTCCCATCAGGCACTGCTGCACGAGAGGGATCCTCCTCCTAGAATATGCCGTTAAGTGGATTATCCCCTCGTGCAGCAGAACCGACAATTTATACAAAAATCCATAACTTTGTGAATATACTGTTGATTTGCACGAATGGACGTTCGGTAGATAGCTGGGGTCTGAGCGCATCATTCGTGAGATTACCGCTCAGATCCCAGCTAAAATAACCGAACGCCGCACGAAAAACACATTTATTGAAAACCATATTGAAAAGACCGATTGCCTTCCAGGGAATGAAATACCGAACGGCCTGGAACTCCCGAACGTCCTGGAGGCTCAGCGGTGTTCGTGCCGTCGAGTAGCCGTTTTTAGTACCATGCGCTCGACGACCTAACACCGCTGAGGGAACAAAGGATCCGAGATGGCCGACCGCTGCATGGTCGGTAGTCGAACGACGGCCACCCAGGAGAGCCTCTAATTACAGATTGCAACATTGTTGCAATCGGTTAACCAGCGCCACACACCTCTAAGTGTGTGGGCTATTAGGGGTAGTGTTTTCGGTTCACGAACGGCCCTCCAAAGTGCCGTTCGTGCAACGAAAGGAAAACCCCATACAAACAGCTATCTGCATTCGGCAGATAGCAAATACAGGCAATTCAATACATTACAGTCAGCATACAATATACGTAGTTAAACACATATCTCCCCAGACATACAGGCAACCCTTAAAGGTACAGTCTCTGGTTATAGTCCAAGTGGCTAGGTTTGCCACACTTACCCATTCAACAATATTTGAATCCAAACTTAAAGATTGCAGTTTATTGATAAGCCTTCTATGTGCAACAGTGTCAAAAGCCTTACTGAAATCTAGGTAAGCAATGTCTACTGCACCACCCTGATCTATAATTGTAGTTACCCAATCAAAAAAATCAATAAGATTAGTTTGGCATGATCTCCCTGAAGTAAACCCATGTTGTCTCTGATCTTGGAATCCATGTGTTTTTAGATGTTCAACAATCATATCCTTTAACATGGTTTCCAACACTTTCCCCACTACTGAAGGCTTATAGTTGCCCGACTCCTCCCTATTACCTTTCTTGTAAATGGGCACAACATTCGCTAACTTCCAATCTTATGGGACTACTCCTGTTAACAATGATTGGTTAAATAAATCTGTTAATAGTTTTGCTAGTACACCACTAAGCTCTTTTAATAGCTTTGGGTGTATTCCATCAGGTCCCATTGACTTATTTGTCTTTACTTTTGACAGTTGAAATAGAACCTCTTCCTCTATGTGTAATAAATGACTCATTTATCCTTTCCCTTAACTGAGGTCCCTTTCCTTCATTTTCATCTGTAAATACAGAACAAAAATATTAATTGAGGCTAGACCTTTATCCTCTTCTACATACCCTCCGTCTTTTGTTTTTAATCTAACTAATCCTTGTTTTACTTTTCTTTTCTCATTTACATATCTAAAAAAAGTTTTGTCCCCCTTTTTTACTGACTGTGCTATTTTCTCTTCTGTGTGTGATTTGGAAGCTCTTATAACTTGCTTAGCCTCTTTCTGCCTAATTTTATAGATCATTTTGTCTTCCGCACTCTGGGTTTTTTTTATAATTCCTAAATGCTAACTTTTTGTTTTTAACTATTTTGGCCACATCTGCGGAGTACCACAGTGGTTTCTTGAATTTTTTGCTTTTACTATTAAGCCTAATGCAATTTTCTGTTGCCTTCAATAGTGCACCTTTTAAATAATCCCATTTCTCTTGGACTCCATTTAAATTGCTCCAGTCTGATAATGACTCCTCTACACATATTCTAATTTTAGAAAAGTGTGTTTTTCTAAAGTCTTAAACTTTTGTTTTCATGTGGTGTGACTTAGTCACTGTTCTTATATTAAACCACACTGACTGATGATCACTGGATCCTAAACTTTCACCTATAGTAATATCTGATACCAAATCTCCATTTGTTAACACTAAATCTAGTATGGCCTCTTTACGAGTTGGCTCCTCAACAACTTGCTTTAGAGACAATCCCAGTAGGGAGTTTAGAATATGTGTGCTCCTGGCACAAGTAGCTAATTTTGTTTTCCAATTTACATCAGGAAGATTAAAGTCACCTATGATGATAACTTCCCCCTTCATTGTCATTTTAGCTATTTCCTCAACTAGTAGATTATCTAACTCTTCAATTTGTCCTGGGGGCCTATAAATCACACTTACACGAGTTACTGTGTGATTACCAAATTCTAACGTAACCCAAACGGACTCTATGTTTGCCTCACTAACTTTTATTAGGCTAGATTTTATGCTATCCTTCACATACAGGGCCACCCCTCCCCCTTTCTTGCCTTCCCTATCTTTTCTATATAAAGAGTACCCTGGTATTGCTATGTCCCAGTAATTTTTCACATTATACCATGTCTCAGTAACAGCGACTAAATCTACACTATCAGTTGCCATTATTGTCACATGTTCATGGATCTTATTCCCTAAACTGCGAGCATTTGTAGACATGACTCTAGGCTTATCATTTTTTAACACACTTGCTACAGGCACCTTCTGTCCTTGTTTTGGGGGACAATTGGATTGATGTTTTATCACCCTTTTGCCTCCCCCTCCTAGTTTAAATACATCCTAGCAAAACCTCTGAACTGCTCACTGAGAACATTTGTTCCCTTTTGAGAAAGATGCAAACCATCTTTTTTCTACAGTTTATTTCCATTCCAAACAGAGCTACCATGAGAAATAAAGCCAAATCCTTGCTCCCGACACCATTCACCAAGCCACAAGTTAAAGTCCCTAATACGCATCCGCCTGTCGTTCTGAGTGTTATGCACAGGCAGAACTTCAGAGAATGACAGTGTGGAAGCAACCTGCCGTATATCATTGGCAAAAATACTAAAAACTTCCTTAACCTCTGAAACCTCATCCAATTCCCCTTCCTGCTTTGCTCGCTTAACTTTATTACAGATATGTCTCCTGTCTCTGTGAGCAGTAGCTCCGGGAAGACATCTCACATCTCCACACCTCTTATGATGGAATCCCCCAACAACAACTGCTTTCTATTAGGCCTCACCATAGTCTCCAAGCCGGTCTCCACAATACCACTAGCCTCAGTGCCTCTCTCCACAACACCACTAGCCTCAGTGCCCCTCTCCACAACACCACTAGCCTCAGTGCCCCTCTCCACAACACCACTAGCCTCAGTGCCCCTCTCCACAACACCACTAGCCTCAGTGCCTCTCTCCACAACATCATTATCCTCAGTGCCTCTCTCCACAATACCATTACACTCTGAAAGTGCAGAAAATGAATTATGTAGAGCAACAGACTGTGCAAAATGCGTTTTATCCACAACTCTAAGTCTACCAGATCCTACAGTAATCCATCTGCCATTCCTAGTATGTCTCTGCAGCAGTGGCTTTGCAGCAGTTCCAGTCTGAGTTTGTTCACCAGATAATTTACAAATCTCAGACTTCAAAAATACAATCTCCTGCCACAAGATAGAGAACTGTCTACAGATTAGACAACAACCAAACCTCCAAAAAGTGGAACGTGAAACAAATGCATAGCAACTATTACACTGAACTAAGTCTGCCATTCCAATGAGGAGAATAATTTAAATCTAACAAATCTTAACTTTGTATTTATCCTCCTGAATACCTCAGATTACCTCCATGTTATCTCCAGAATATCTCCAACCACACACTTAGACGCAACACTTAGATGAAGCAACCAAGCTATATTAGCCAGGCTAATGACAACAACCCTTTAGCCTCATCTCGTTATTGTAGGGAACTGCTATATTCACACACACACTGCTCTATGTATAATACAGACACACACACACACTGCTCTATGTATAATAGACACACACACACACACACACACTGCTCTGTGTATAATAGACACACACACACACACACTGCTCTGTGTATAATACAGACACACACTGCTCTGTGTATAATACAGACACACACACTGCTCTGTGTATAATACAGGTACACAATACAGCGACATCTAGATACATGGAAAACAGTCACCAAAATAGCGCCACAAGCTTGTGCCAAACAAGCCCCTACACACACACACACACACACACACCCTATAGCCCCTAAACACTTTCCTACAATCCCTGTACAGATATAATACAGACCCTAGACATACACTACAAACACTCTAGACACACTCTCTCTACAAACCCTAGACACACACACGCTGCAGATCTTGCCATTCATAGTACACCACAAAGAAACCCTCTTAGACACACTACACCACAAACAGCAGCCTCTACAAACACATGTGTGTAGGTAGAGGGTACTGTGTATGGGAAGTCCCTAGTGAAATTCTGTGTTTGACCTCGGCTTTGTATTGACCTTGTGATTTCTGGTATCCAGACCCAGTTTCGTATTGACCTTGTGATTTCTGGTATCCTGACCCGGTTTTGTCTTGACATTGTTTATTTCTGTTTCCTTGACAATGATTCTCGCTATATTAACCTTAAGTCCGGCCACTCTTAGGCTTGGTAATACGCCTTTTGGAACCACCTTTTGTGGGTTTCCAATTTTCCTGCGTGTTGGGGTAAAACTCCCATGACACCATCTTCATGATGTACTTGTGGATGCTCCGTGTTTCGTCCAAGACTGTGGCCTTGACACCCATCAGGCCCCGACCTCCTTCAACATGGTTGGTCTCTTGTTGCTGTATTTCTAGTGGAATCCTCTATTCATAGCTTCTGAATCTTAACATCCATGTTGACCAACTCTTCTATATCTATATTATCAGCTGGTTAGACTGCTGGCAATGTACTTGGGAAACAAAGGTTCAAATCCCAGTAAGACAAACTCACCAGTAAATGTGCTTGAAAAAGATACCTAACAATATATAGCAACCTACCTCAATCCTCATAGATTTTGAGCTTATTTTAGCAGGTCCTCATTAACATCTAAACATCCCCTTTCTGTAATTGTTATGTGTTGCTGAATATTATATTAAACTTAACTGAAAATCTCAACTATGTTCCTCTTTGTTTCTGCATTCAGGTCATGGCATTTTAATTTAGATGGGGGTGAGATGATGCTCAATGGAGAGGAGGTGTGACTGAAGAGGAGATGATGCTAAAGGAGTGTGAGATGGCATTGAGTAGGGATGATAATGCTGAGTGAGAATTATGTAAAGCTGAGGTGGGATGACACTGCCTGTAGAATGATGCTGAATGTGAGTAGGATGAAGCTATCCATAGTGAGGAGCAAATGAGTCTGAATGGGAAAGAGGAGACACACTGAGTGGGGGTGAGATGATCCTAGGTAGAACCCACTGCCATGTGCAATAACAAGCAGAGCATCCACTGTACTATAAAAACACGCACAGCACCATGACCACTTAGTCTGAAGTTTGGGCAACGACAAGCTAATATTGCACAAAACCCAATGGGGTGGCCTCCCACAACAGGGTTTGTGGCGGAACCAACCTCACCACTATGCACTGGAGAAGCCTGGTTGCCAGCCTCCTGCCATGTGACTATGGCCCCTGGGATGTATTGCCCTTTAAAGACATGATTTGGGCATAATGGATTTGTGTTGTGCTGCTGCTGGCCCTTTTAAGAACCATCTGAGGACATACTGTGGAGTTACTGGGTGGCCACCATTTCCTGTATCAGAAGCACATGGTGAGAACAATGGATGGCGG